GGGACTGTGCCTTTTGACTTGTCAACCTTGGGCTTGTCAGCCTCAGCAGCCAGCAGCCATCTGAGTGAAGAAACGCCTCTAGCTCCAGTGGGCCGGGAGCAGGAGGCAGAGTTGGACCCAAAGGTTGAGGGGCTTTCTCCCAGCCCCTAGGGACTGGTACTTTGAACTCAGACTTAAAGCCTCCAAATTGTAAGAGAATAAACTCCTGTTTGTGAAGGCCATCCCATTGGTGGTGTATTCTTGTCAGAGCGGCACCAGGGAACCAGGACAGTGTCTAACAGTGTGTGCTCACAGAGTGGCCTATTTTGGTCATTCTCACAATATTTCAAACTTTCTCACCACGCAGTTGCACACCTAACAGACTATGGTGTCGTGTAAACATAACTTTTACAGGCACAGGGAAACCGAAACATGTATGTGACACGCTTTATTGTGATGTTCGCTTTATTGCAGGGTTCTGGAACGGAACCCCTAGTGTCTCTGTAAAGGAAACACCAAAGACCCTATTGGAAAAAATAAACGTGTTTTCATCCATCTAAATCTCTGCTCTTTCTTCCTTCCCCAGGAGAGAGTTACGTGTGTGGCTCCATCGAACCCTTCAAGAAACTGGAGTACACCAAGAACGTGAACCCCAACTGGTCGGTGAACGTCAAGACCACCTCCGCTTCCCGGGCTGTGTCATCGCTGGCCACCGCCAAGGGCAGCCCTTCGGAGGTGAGGGAGAACAAGGATTTCATTCGTCCCAAGCTGGTCACCATCATCCGAAGCGGGGTGAAGCCGCGGAAGGCCGTCCGGATCCTGCTAAACAAGAAGACTGCACACTCCTTTGAGCAGGTCCTCACCGATATCACCGACGCCATCAAGCTCGACTCGGGGGTGGTGAAGCGCCTCTACACGCTGGACGGGAAGCAGGTAAGACATGACTCAGGCCCGACTGCGACTCGACAGGCGGGAGCCAGGGACGCGGAGGCTCTGCGCGGCCTGCAGGGGCGTCTGGAATGTAATTTCTGAGGTTGTTGACAGGACTGGTTCGTTTTGTCCACCAATAAGCATTTTGTTGACTTCACGGCATTGCAAGGTTGGAATCAGCCACGGGGATGACCCATGAATGAGCATCTCTGAAGCCTGGTGATGACTCAGGATTTCCCACTGTCCAGTTCTTAACTCTTTCCAGAATGACCCTTTTCTGTCCTGTGAAAACAAAAATATTATTAAGCCACTAACAGAAATTGATTGAAGTTTATTTAATATAAAATTTGTAAACTGAGGCCAGCATTTCTGACTAGAGTGTCAGAAACACTCCAAAGAAGAAAAACGTTTCAAAGATTCCTATACCCCAGAGTATTGCTAGCAATTATATGTTGCCATGGAAACAGGGCCAGAACAATGTTTACATAATAACTTGTGGACGTACATTTTTTTGAAGAACAGTTCAGATGATGACTGATTTACCCCAACACATAGATTCTAGTCGACCTGCTTCTGTTGTTAGAACTGCACATGTGTAGTTGGTTGAAAGACAACAGTGCCCAAGGCAACCATTCTTTACCAATGAAGCTCCATTATTGTTTGACTCGAAGATGACTTTCAAAACCAGTGTTCTCAAGACTGAAAGTTCAGAGGTTATCTCAGGGTGATAGTTTGCATGAGTCATTTGAATGTCAGTCATGTGTTTGCAGTTTTGTCCTGTACTCGTATGTCCCCTAATCCCTGAGCATGCCTGAAGGGCAGAGGCGGACTGTGACCAGTAGAGAAAAATGTGACCCATTTATTTGACCTACACAGTATTTTATTGTTTCATGTCTCAGTGATATGTAGTGGTGAGATTGATTTACCTTTTATAGATTTTTACAAAAGTATTTATTTTGTTGTTGAGAATGCATACAAGGAAACCTCCTCCAGTTCAACAGTTTCCATATGCACAGTTTAGTGACAGGCATTCAGTTCTCCAAGCCGTCAGCCATTTTCGTCCCCCTTTGCCAAATTACTTCTCCTCCGTGAACATCAACTCCCCGCTTTCTAAGTTCCCTAGCTAATCTTTGGTGTTGGTGTTGTCATTTTGATCCCGTATCGATAGTTCTAAAGAGTTTAATGCTTAAGGCAAACATTTTTTACTAGTGAAGCTAAACTATTGTTTGATTTTAAGAAGACTTTAGGGAATATTTTTGGTTTAATGTTTAATCTTCAGGGGTTTATCCAACCTTCATGGGTCTGGGAAATTTGGAGTCCATGAGAATTACAATTTTTTTTTCCTCTATTTCCCCCCTTTTGATGAGAATTCTTCTATAGAATCTTTGATCAGGATGTTCAGAAACGGCAGCCGGGCACCATCCCGTTCTTGGGGTCTCGTGGAAAGGAGGCACTCAGCCCCACATTCCACTGCACCCTCCTCCTGCCTCTTTCTCTGCTGCTTAAGCAGAATAGGGACCAACTGTTGTGCCCTTTCACAGACGTTAAAGGCCGTGTCTGAGGTTTGAAATGGTCCCCATCCGGATGCATTGAGAGACTCGTCTCTGCAGGGGTCCACACCTCGTGTTTAAGACCTCATTCCAGAATTAGCTCTGGAATGGACACCAGCCACCTTGGATGGGTGGACACTTTCACGTGAACTGGCGAGGAAACACTCCTTTTCCGTGCCGTCTGTGGACTTTCTTCTCTTTTCTTTCTTTCTTTTTTTTAATGATTTGACAGAACTGAGATGGGGAGCTGAATAAAAAGACACTGATCTTATGTACGGTTTCACTTGTGGGTCATTTAGGGCTTGTCGGTGTTTTCTGTTTAAGATTATAATATAATAATCTTGGCTTGAAATTTAGTTTAGCATGTAGACTTAGCAAAATGTCATCTTAGCATGTTCAGGATGATTTTAATCTCTGTGTGTATCTTGTTTTTATGGGGTGCTGTCTGGTGGACTCCAGCTCACGGTGACGTCGTGAGTCAGAGCGGAGCTGGGCCCCGTGGAATTTTCAGTGAGTGAATATTTAGAAGCAGATTGCCAGGGCTTTCTGCCAAGGCGCTTCCCGGCGGACTGAGCCCTCAAGTATTAGCAGCTGAGGGTGTTAACCGTTCGTCCCGCCCAGTCCCAGAACCCCTTTGTCAGCAAGTCACGATCCTGGCTCAG